TATAGCCTGCAGAACTTGTTCCCCATGCATCGCGCGTGTCTCGCACCCCCAGTCCGCTTCGCAGTGCTAGCATGAAAAGCGCAAAAAACTGAAATTGACTCCTGTTCTGCAGTTGATTTCTTTTATAGACACCTTCTAGGCATTGACAGGCTGTGAAAAAAGTGTATTTTTTTTATTATTATTTTTTGAAGTGCTACATCATTTTCCTATAAATTTCAAACGTGACTGCTAAAAGACTGTTTGGAACCCATGGATGGAGAAAAGCTGTTCCGGAGAGAAGGTCAACCTCCCAGCCGAGCCAACTTTTGCGAGCGTTTGTATGAGGAAAAAACTGACCACTTTGTCCCAGTCAACAGTGCTTGCGCATGCTGTCTTTGTCTAGCCTTGACCGTGTCGTCCCAGCTAGCTGGGCGAGCCAAAGTGAAGAAATATTAGCCGGGCTAGAAGGGTGAGGCCACCACTACCGGCTCAGTGGAGGGCTGACTTCCGGAAGCCCTCAACCCCCCCCACTACTGGTAGTAAGGCGTCTATCCGAACCAACCTTTTGCTTCTCATGTAAATGGTTTACCAAGTTTTGTAAGGAAATGGAGGAAAAGTTGGCTCACCCAGGGTAGCTTGGGAGGTGAGTAAACACCAGATAACCCCAATAATAAGCACAAACTTTGATTGTCAGTTAGATGTCCGCTATTTTAAGTAAGCGACCTGGCATGTGATTGTCGTATCCATGCCCCCTTCCAAATCCCCTTTATTATCGGTAAGCCTCTGATAGGTCAAAGTAATACAGTCGTACCTCCAGTAAGCGACCACCAAAAATGCAAAGACTTAATGGTCTCTAACGGGAGGTGGCCGTTTAGAAGAATCGGACCACATAGGGTCTATTCCGAGAAGAGGTCCGGGCACATTCTATTAAATGGCGGTGTAACAAATTCCTGGCAAAATATTATCTATTACCTCTTTTGAAAAATACAGCTTTCAAATCATGCTCAATTTAAAGAGGGATTCAGGTGAGTGAGATATAGAATAGTCTAGAATCACAACAGAATCTTCACTTTGTTGGCTACATCTACTAAGTTAGGATATGTGTAGTTCCACAATGTCACTAAAGGTCTTCATATTTTCCAAGGAACATAGTGCACACAGCAAAAATAGAGAGCAGAGAATGCGTCAACTGGTCGCTTATGGAAAACAATTAACCGTGACGCCCAAAAAGTGGTCGCAGTCACTTACAGAAGGTCGTTTACTGGAGGTTAATCCAAATATAAGGCTTTGCATGGGAAAATTTGGTCTTTTGGATTGGCGGTCGCACATGGAGGTTCGACTGTGTTAGGTCTATTAGAGTATGAGCCACCATCACCTCACTGTGAGTGACGAGAGCCAGGAACGTATAGTATACACTCCCTTAGGATGCACAGAATCGTTGTTTTGAGGTCCCGTTTAGCGAAATGGATCATTCAAGGGAGGTGCTGAAGTCCCATAGTGAAATTTATAAGGTTTATGGGTTTTTAGTGCAAGGCGAAACACAATACTTAGGGCCCTGTTGTTCAAACGTTGAGCAACAGAAAATCACTATCAAGCGAATAAGATGAAGCAATTGCGTTACTTATTGGATATAGATTTATCCAGGGGAAAGCGTTAGTTCCGGGGGCGTTAGTCAACTTTTCGAACATACAGCCCCTAAGTCACTCTCCTCCGAAGACTTACCCTGGGCGACCTGGATAGGGGAATATAATACTCGACCTTCCTTGCATCATCGCGAGAGCCTATAGCCTTCACTTTCTTTTGGCTCGTCCTATAATCCTACCCAACGTTCGTGGGACAGGAAAGTCTGCATGCGAGGCTTGGGAATCTAGGGAGACTATGGTAGCATGGTGCAAATAGCCGGGATGAGCTACTTTGTCCACACGAACCAAGAGGATTGTGTCTGCTAGAAGAAATCAGATGTAGCTTTCTGTGATAAGTAATATTCCAACAGTATAGGATCATAGTTTGAAGCCATTTCACAATCACTAGTTTCCGCGCACCTCTACCGGCGAGTTGTGGACAAAAGCAGCTGATAGCTGTATACGAACCTTTTTTCCACAAAATGGTTTCTGGGTTTTCGTATTCGACAGTGTCATGTCTTGATTTTTTTTAATCTTAATCGAGGTCTTTTTTATTATGTACTGTCTATCTGACTAACTGTTTCTTTGTGTGTTTTTTTTTTCTGGTAATAACAGGTTTCATAATTTGGTCGCGGTTGGGGTTATAGGCTCCTGATCGTGAGCAAATAGCGAAAACCAAAGTAAACTATAGCGTTGAATCCGTTGGCCACGGAGAATTGGTATTATTCTGCAAGTTCTTTACTACAGCAAGAGAGTATACTCCCTTGACTATGGGACATTGGGCCGGGGGAACTTAGTATTTTGACCCGGCATAGGGGAGGAGGGGAGGGGGAGGGGGTACCCTGGCCAGATTCCAAGTCACGGGGATGATCGAAGTATGTTTTTTTCTTGTTTTGAAAATATTTTGAACAAATTTTTTTTTTAGCTGTGGCTTTACTTAAGTATTCAAAATATTCGTTCTTTTTTGGTCTTGATTTTCGCTTCCACGGGTCACTCACGACACTTGGAATCCGAGGTACCCCTCCTGTTTAGTACTTCGAAGGCAAAAAAGCTGTTTCAAAGCCTAGTAGGTAAATAAAAGAAAAATAAATATGCATGGCTGTTTCTACTGCGATGAGGGGAGTTCTTGTCAAAAAATGTGAAAACTGTATTAAAATTGCTGGCAACAGCTATGAAAATTTCGTGACAGCATGCTGACGTGACTAAAGCGTGTGACCAATTTCCGGTCACACGCCAAAGGTCATACGATCTTGTGCGATGTTTATTATCAGCCGACGAACGATTGAAGTGATGAAAGGTTTTCAAAATCGAAGTCATTAGTTTGCGATGAATTTTTATTCCTTTTGCCTCCTGACTGAAGTAAAAACTCTTGTAACTCTTGCTTCGACGTGTTGGGACTTTCGATGCACGGCCGGATTCGGACGCAGTTGCTGAGCAAACGTACGTTTGTCTTTTGGCGAAAAATTATTTATTTTGTGACTCAAAACGACGCAAAAGAAGTTGGAAATAACTTTCCTTGCCGTAAAAACGTGCTACAAGCAATGGTGAGTAATCCTTTCATGTAAAACCTTTCTTTTTAGTTTGACAACCGTCCGCAAGCCGTCTAATTTGCATAAATTTCCCAATTCAATTGCTCTCACCGCTTGCTTTGGTGTCAGGATGATATTTGATTTCCAGAGCTAAAACTTTCCAGTAAGTTAGTACAAAAGCCAAGGTTCCATTTTATATTGATTTTATGATCAAGCGGCGTATACCAGAGGCCTTTTTTAATAGTCAAAGTTGGCCTTCATTTTCTAGCACGTCTAACGTCACAAATATGACCTCTTTACACTTGTCGATTATAAAAATGTAAAGCATTGTTTATCAAATTTTCTTTTAGGATTTTCAAGAGTAAGAACAAAATAATAATTCGGTGAAGTTTCAATGTCAGGGAATGTTTCTTACGCGTTCACCCTTCTCTCGAAGTTGCCATTGGATCCTGCCGTGTTTTGTGCGAAAAACGAGCATAAAATCGATTTTTCAAACTTTTCCTAATTTCTCCTTTAAAATGAATCGTTTGAACCCAAAACTATTTTTCCTTAAATAAGGTCACTAAAAGGGATATTTTGGCAAAATAAAAAAAAATTCGATTTTTTGACGAGTGTCGTGCGATTCTCGATTTTCTCAGATAATGGCTCTTAAGTAACTAACATTATTATAAGCAACGTGCATTTCCATTCCAAAAATAACTCCAAGAAGTATTTCACAGCAAAACTTTTACATAATTTAATATGAACAATATTACAAATAAAAGTCTTACTTAGTTACATGTAAGACTGCATACAATCTCATTAGGAAATCTAAACTGCTGGCTTAATTCTTATACCATATCATACCATAGCAAGTACCAGTACTTGGTGGATCATCCCCAAAAATTATTGTTAAAGCCTATACAAACTGCTGAGAGGCCATCATTGGGGAGTATCAGACTGATGCTACAAAGACGATAGTGATGCAAACAAAACTAGCCATAAGCTTTATATACAAATGTGTAAGCCAACATCTCTACACATGTATCTCACTTTTTGTCGCCACTCTGCTGTAACTGCATGGCTGCAACTTGGACCTGGCTGTGGCATACAAAGTAGTCTTCGAGAATTTGCCTACATTTGAGTTTGAATAATAATGACAAACTGTTCACTTTTAACAAGTGACTCACTTTCACAATGCATCTATCTCACATTCCCTGTTTTATAGTTTTAGGATAATCCATTGACTGTCCTGGAATTTCAGCAATTTTAATGAACACAGTCGAGTAAAGATTGTCTTTAAGAATAAAACTCTTATCAACTTTCCAATAAGATTGTGCAATTTAGTTAAAGCTGATCATCACAGGGTCATCCTGACTAAAGAAGGCACAATAATACATTAGGGACTTTAAGCAAATTGCTACAGTGACCTCTACTATGATGGTCGTGGATCAGAGTCCTAAAGAGAGTATGTCACTGTTGCCCGTCAAATTTCAACTTTATGCAAGTGGCACCCAAAAGTCACGACAGGGCTTCTCGCCCATTTGGTTTTGTTGTTAGTAAAACGCAGGGAAGACTGAATTACTGCCCAGTGAACTAGAAGTGTTAAATACTTTCTTGATTAAGAGTAAAACAATGTGATAGGTTTTAAACCAGTGAAAAATAGGGGAAAAGTAGAATTTTATACTCATGTAGAATCGACTATGCCATCACATTTTGTGCTTCGGCTAAAGGTCATTTTCTGGACATCATGCACACGGCGTCCTTTTTGGACTTTATACTCCCAGTTGCCATAGTAGTGATCACTGTAGCCATTTCACTAATTTGGTATTATTGGCATCTTGCCCATGAGGGGCAGTTATTTGGTACTGGTCTGTCTGACAAGTATTTATCAACCTCTCTGGTTATTTTCCCAGCTGCTCTTTCTTTGCCTCTTTGACATGCAAGCTTCACAAAAGGCGTCAAGAACAGCATTGATGTTTCTTAACTTTGACCTCTCTGAGCACAGTGGCCTGATGTACCTGGGTGGTGGATCACTGCCCCCCTCTTCATTGTGTTCACTCTCCTGGATAGCCTTGTGTAGGTCTAATAAAGCCTTTGTTTTGGCTTTGTCATCCGGAGAAGGGTGTGCCTTGTCCAACACGTCTGTGCGATTCGTCAATTTCTGAACACCAAAAAAACATATTTAGTCACCGTGGCATGACTACTGTGATAAACATTTAATTAACATTTACTTTGTTCTTCAGCAACAGTCTAGTCTGGCAAAATAGTCACCCTGACTATTTTGAATCTTTAGATTTGGTTCTTGCTCTCTACTCTGAGCAATTTACACTACAATGAAACCTTGCGGAAACACGAAACAATGCCTCCATTTTCATCTTACACGTTTCCCGTCGTATCCGTCCTGCGGAAACGTGACGGAATTTTGAACCATCAGGTTTCCGCAACATTTCCGAATTGCGGAAACACCTTATTTCACCATGTGGCATGAAAGAAGCGTAAGAGTCCCACAAGGCGATAGCCAAGTGTGACTCTAGCTTCTTGAGTGCTTAGCAATCCCCCCAAGTGCAACTTTAACTCAATAGTACACGCTGAGCCGTTTACCATTTGTTTTATAACATAATAAAAAGAGAAAAACTTTTAATTTTGTTTACAGATTGCAGGGGAATGAAGTGAGTTCTTTTATCTGCTTGCGCTATGACGTGTGCAAATCATTCATTGCAAATCCTCTTCTTTGCTGAATAAGTAGTACGCTCCTTCTGAATGTGGATTACAAAACCTTTTACGTTATCCTTAAAGGTCTTCAATAAGCCTTTTTTTTTCAGTATTAAGACAAAAGATCTTTGTAATTTATGACGGGAAAAAATAGAGTCGGATATAAAGTAACGGCTACGGCTTTGAGCGCGTTCTAGCTTTCGTAACCATTCACCCACGGGCAAATAGTAAATGGGTGATTGACCAATCAGAGCGCGTGCTTTACTTTTGTTATGTTATAACACTGGCTTTTATATAATAAAAACGTTTTATATTGGGACGCCCTTTCAACAGGTTAATAATACGTCGTAGCGATTTTGTGTGCATGCGACGGCCTTCGCTTACTGTCAGTAAATACAGAGATCGTGCTGGATTTTAATGGCCACTTAAGTGGCGTTTAATTGACAAAAATCACTAACAAGTTGTGATCACAATAGCACACTGTTATAAATCACTATGACATTTCAACTCAGGAAAAATTAGGTGGGGGCAAATTACGCCCGCACAAAAATAAAAACAAAATTAGAAAACAACCAAGAAGGCGTTGTGTGGGGTGGTGGGACAAAAATGAGTTTCGAGATGTGCTCCCTGAGCTTGTTCGCAGAAAAAGGGCAAGAACGTACTTGTCGCAGCCTTTACATAGCTGATGTCTCTCCACGTGACAAATAAAAGACCGTGTAATAGACCGCAGAGGCCACCCAGAGAACTGCTTATCGCAAGACCGCTCCTTAGCTGTTATCTACTGATAAGCTTATCTTTGGTCCCAACATAAAAACCATTATGTTCCTTCCGTTACATAATGTTGGCCTTTATTCATCTCAATCAGTGAAAGTAATTAACATCAATAAAATTAATGTTGTATAATTTTTTATTTATTTGTGCTTAGCCTCTACAGAAATAAGCCCTTATGTTACTCTATGATAAAAACACCACATCCCAACTATCCAACTGGCAACCACAATTGACTTTGCATAATAGCACGCATGTTTACTACTTTACCGGTATTTTACAAAAAGAAAATGACATTGACAACTTCCACATTTCCGCAAACGGGAAAAATAAAAGTTGATGTACCGATTACTGACTGTCTCTAATATGCTCTGCTTGTTGTATAATCCTACCTCGAAAGTACTTAATAATACTAATACTAATATTAATATTTAAGAAGAAAAAATGTTCAGTCAAAGCACTATTTACAAATCATTTCATTTCATAAGCTCCTCTTCATTTCGATTAAAAAAACTGAATTCATTTCATTTTTTTTTTTTAAACTCACTTCAATTGAAAACAGTTAATTTCAATTAAAAATAAAATAAAAATATTAAAAATATCCTAAAATACTAATAGCGTTTAAGCGGCAGTCATCAATGAAGCCCCCTTGTGGAATTTTGTCGAAGGGTGTCCTGGAGCCTCTTACGCATGTGTGTACCGACCTTAAAATCTCAAAAGAAAGCAATGTTCTAATCCAAGTAATAGTAATGTGATAAGGTTCGTCATTATTTTCTGAGAGCTTCTCGGCTAGGTGTTTGAGAAAGCAGTTGCAGTCGGCTCCCATCCCACCGCTGGTTCCAAAAACTAGGGGAGTGAAAGATCCCATTTCAACCTTCAGTACCCTTTGTTGGTACTTCCGCTTTTTCGCCTCCTCCTGCTCCTTAAAGTTTGTGGATGTTGTTTTTCCCTGGTTACACTTGGAGTTAACAAGCGTTACTCTGACATCAATAAAAGCTGTAACTCCACGAGACCAAAAGCCCCCTGCCTTGAAGTCCAGTCTTGACTCCGGGCTTGTTACCGCCATTCTGAGGTTGAATCGCTCATTATCGAGAGGTTGTAGTTGTAGTTCGACTTCAACGTTGGTGCAAACCTTACCAATAAGTGAGGTAAGTAGGTTGCGAATACCATCGTGTCTCTGTGCCACGAACCCTCCATTTTTGCATGACATGTACAGGGCATGGCAGACGGTATACTTCTCACCACAAACACACTTGCTTGGTAAGTCGGACAGGGGCGTATTTAGCAATTAATGAATCAGGATGAGTAGGATATGAAGAATTAAGCAGATCGAGGAGTGGGCGAAGGAGCACAATAATACAAAGCATTTTTTGTGCCAAATTAGGAGCCAGCATTTGCTTGACCGTTTGGAAATGGTCTGGTGAGAGTCGGTACCCAGGGGCTCTTCCGCTCGTGCTTGAAAACGTTCGTCGCGCCTTTTCTTCCAACCCGACTGACTGCCCCTGGGTCTCCGAGGATGGAAATAGGTAAACTTGTATTTGCTTGCTATCTCAGATAGTGCTTTGAGTTGTCCTTTCCATCCAAGGACCTTTTCCCGACTGTATTGACCTTTGAACTTATGAGATCCGATGACGGCCCCTAAGAGGCGCTTACCTTCAGTTGTAATATTGACCTCATCTCCAAACACCCTCTTTGCCTCATCTCCAAGTACTTCCGACTTGACAATCAGCCAGCTCTTTGATCCATTCACTAGA